CCCCCCCCCCCCCCCCCCAAAAAAAAATCAAGGAACGAATCCAACAGACAAGACACACATCATCCACGGACGCACCAGAAGGCTGTGCGCATGTGGATGACATACAGACACTCTGAGAGACACGCCCACACAGTGTCATCCAAATCATCAGTCATGTCTCCCTGTCCCTCCAGGCCTCCTTCTGTCTTTTCCACTCGCCGGCCCTCTGCCTCCGATACTCCGGAGGTGTCTATCAGGGACCTCAACATTGATATACAACAAACGGCGCCTCACCGACGCACACACACCAATCAGACCGGCGTCATGGTCGGGAGGGATGTTCGGTCTCGCGAACATGGGTATGTGCATGCGCGGCTCGCGTGCGTGCGTGTTGCTGGATGGATGGATAGATGTAGGAGGAATTGGAAGACGTATGGCTGTGTTGGTGGCTGCGAAATATGCGTGTCTCTTCGTCTCGTCTAATTGAGTTTCTTTACATTTGGAGTCAGTCAGTGTGTAGTCATCATTCGTTCGCTCAGGCCTACCCGCCCATCCACCCACAAAAAACAACACAATCACGGACACGCACCACCCTCACACAGCCTCACCCCCTCCAGCCGCTCCGGCACCTGTATGTGATGCTGCACTCGACGAGGCACCGAGTGCGGCCGTACTCCCACCCCTCGCACCGAGTGCGGCCGTCCTCCTACCCTGCGACAGCACCCCTGGATCCGACTGGGTCGAGGGAGAAGAGTCGCCGAGGACTGGTGGGTGCGACGTCATCGTTAGCTGCACAGCGCCAGCTGCTGTGGCTTGCCAACCAGACTGGTTGGTCGTCACTGGCTGGGTCACACCGGCTGGGCCCGGCTCGCTTGTGCTCAATTCTTGGTAGGGCTGAAAAGTGGTGTCTTGAGAGAGTCCGCAGCACACGCCGATGTTCCACAGACAGCCTGCGATCCATGATAGGCTTCGAGTGGGAAAAGAGACGAAAGCCCCAGACAGAAGAGGGAGATGTCCCCACTTGAGTCCTAATAATCCTTGAGGGCGAATAATCCCATGGAGTAGACCTCGTAGATGAACCAGCCGAGGGATCCCAAGAAAAAGGACCACCAGAAGACCCTGAAGCCAATAGGGTATCGGCGTCTCGTGGTCGCCTGATTGCATCGGACACCCAGCGACACACACAACAGAAGGAATGCTGGAGTTCTCTGGCATTCCCATCTCCCTTCCTCCCTCCCTCCCTC